GAGGGTTGCGATCCCATTACCGGTCAGTAAAAAAGACAAAAAGGAAAAAAAAAAAAGAATAAGTGCAGTTTGCAACAATATACATACTAGTAATATTGATTTGATCAACAAATGTCAACACTGAATCCCAAAAATATGTAAATCAATTATGATTCAATAAAAATAAATAAATTAATTAAAAGAACATAACAAATACTGGTGAAGATATGGAGAAAGTGGAACCCTTCAGCTTTGTTGGTGGGAGTGTAAATTAGTACAGCCATTATAAATAACAGTATGCAGGTTTCTCAAATAACTACAGAACTACTATTAGGCCTAGCAATATCACTACTGGGTATTTACCCAAAGGAATGGAAATCATCATGTTGAAGGGATACCTTCACTCCCATGTTTATCAGCCAAGATATGGAACCAACCTAAATGCCCATCTATGGATGACTGGAGAAGGAAAATGTGGTATATATACATAATGGGATACTACTCAGCCATAATAAAGAATAAATTTCTTCAAATTCCCAGGAACATGGATGAGCTTGGAAAAAATTATGTTAAGTAAAATAAGCCAGGCACAGAAAGAGAAATACCACATATCCTCACTCATAAATGGGAGGTAAAAAATGAATAGGTAAAGAAACAAAAAAGAGAAAGTGAGAAAGAAAGAAAGAAAGAAAGAAACAATCACAGTAATATGCTGAAATTCCCAAAGAAGGCATTGATAGTCAACTTTGTTCACCACGAATATGTATAATTAATTATGTTTCAATGAAGAAAAAAAAAAAAGATGTTCAAGACAGGAAAAAAATACTTAGCTAAATAATTTTACTTATATTCCTAATTCAAAAAATAATAGCTTTGCTCAACCCATGTCTTGATTATAGGACACTTTTAGGTACTAATAAAAAATAAAATCGAGTTTTAATTAAATGTTTCAATTTTGTTTAGTCTCTTCTTGTATATTAGAAAGGTATTAAGTATCTGCTAATGTGTCTGACACTGGACTAGGAATTGGAGTTAGAGAGGAAACATAGTTCTTATTCTCAAAGAGCTCTTTCTAGGGGGAAAGGGCCAATTATGATATCAGGTAATGACAGAGGTCCCCTAAGAAAGGCACCTAACACAGAATTGGAAGGACAGGGGAAGTAGGTAGGCGAGGTTTTGTGGAATGAGGACATACTATGTATATCAGAGTATGAGTTATCCAGGCAATCTGTGGGAAAAGCATTCTTAAACTAGAGAAGCTGGAAAGCATGAGTAAGCAGAATACACATGGCACTGTAAAAGTTTTCGAAAATTGGGGTATATTCTCAAAATTATTATTATTTATTTATTTATTTATTTATTTA